GTTGAAAAGCAAGCAAGACACTCCTCTAACCTGCCAATGACACCATGCAGCCCTGCAGAACCACCATGGCTATCCCTGGCCAAGAAGAAAGCCAAAGCATGGAGTGAAATGCCCCAGATTGTACAATAGCAAATGACACGAGCATCCTTTGTATTGCCAATAGCTGCGTTAACTCCATCTAATCACTTCTTTACTGTGACCTTTTTTTTGAGAAATAAGAGCCTTAAAACTTTTGCTCAGACCATTCTATGTAAATACACAATGAAGAAATGCCATCGCAAGCTTAATTTGAAGTATTAGAAAGCTGAGCATTTCCTACTACCAAATACTAGGAAAACTTGATCAATTTGTTAGTTCCTTACACATTTGACAGTGATGTTCTAAGAAGACATGCTTCAGGCTTTTGAAACATTTCCCTGCAAAATATGTTTTTTAAGTTTCCTCAGACCATACAGTATTTTGTGCAATGTGGCTTTGGCTAAGAAATTAATGTATGCTATAAAATATATATAATGCTGGGCAGTGACACATCATGAGTCATGGGCATTGATGTCATCACACTTCTTTCTCTAGCGCTCTGGGATGGGCAGCGTGACTTTGCTGCTGATTGTTAACAAATCTATTTTGTGATAGCTATAGGATCTAAACAGCATTGTGAGTTGGAGTAATTCTGGCTTTTGGGTGGCTTGAAGCCACAATGCTGTGGGTCTTGTGCTTTGCTCATCAATGCCTGCTGTAATGGCCCAGAGCCACATACCTTCTCTTCTCTCCCACACACTAGAAAACCACCATGCTCTAGCATATACTCTGCTTTTGGTTACACCTTTGGAAATCTGAGATAATTCGGGCATTCTACCAAAAAAGAAAAGTCCTTTAATAGTGACTTATTTTTTGTGAGATTCCTCAGCCAATTGTCTCTCTTAAAGAGTGTGTTGTGGATGGGAACTATTTGCTGCCTAGAAGGTGGCATCTTGTTTTCAACAAATGCCACTCTACTGTCCACGTTCATGTGGATGTGTATTTAGCCAGGTGTATTTAATATTAGCGATAAAAGGAGCATCTGCTTTCCTCCTTGCTTCATCAGTCTTTAACCAGTAACTCAACATCAGTCTAAGAATGTGCAGCTGGAAAAGGATTGTTCTCTCAGGGCCTGGCCTTGCAGTCACTTAAGTTGACAGAAGTTTTGCTATTGACTTTGAAGGAAACAGGCATTTGAAAAAGAAACTTTGTAAAAGGATGCTAGTGGCTTAAGTGGCAGTGGCACTTACTGGTCCTTTTCAGTTTTTGCAGCATTGCACATTTATGTAGTTTTTGTTTACAGTCAGTGCAAAATTTGAAGACTGAGTTGGCTGATGGAGTTTTTAGCTGGAAACTCGGTAGGTATTTTTAAGGAAAATATTATCTACTGATAGGATTAACTGCAAAACAAAAACTTTGGTTTCAGATCAGCTCAAGCAAGACTTTACTCTTCCAGTCTTGGCCTGAATTTAATATGTAATTTGAAAACAGTATTAATTAGGAGCTAGACTGTGTGATTTTTTATTTTTTATATGCTTTATATCTTACTCACCCGAGTAGGCTCACTGAAGTTTTAGATGCTGTTTATTTTGTACTAACACCAGAAGAGTAAGAGGTTGACATTGTCTTGGTAATCCACACCTATTTTACTACTTGTTTTTCTCTATTTTAGGAAGCATATCTTCTCTTACAAAGAACTGAAGCATTTGTATTTCTCTGAAACTTTTGAGTGTAGTGTAAATGAACATAGTCAGCCTTGATTCCTGAACTTTTGTACAGCTGCCATCCCATCACAGGCTTACTCACCCTGTGTAAAATATGTGCGTTTCTATATTCAGCAAACTCTCTTCTCTTTTTATTAGTGTGGATTGTGATCCTTCACCCAAAGTACTGCAAATGATACTATAATCTCTCTTTCCACATGTTTGCTTTTGAACTTAATATTGTTTCTGTCTTTTATGTTTGCTATGTACATATGTTTTTGTAATCCTTGTCTTGAAGGAACCCCTTTTGTATTCCATTCCCATATTTGGTTTATGATTAAATGCTGTTGCCAGTGATGATGATATAGTTCCTGGGAAAAGAAGAGTGATAGATGGTCCTCATTCATTAAGGAAAAAATAAAAAGAGGTCTTTGGTCAATACAGACTCTATATATGGATATACTGCGTAGATCTTGTTTTAAGATGATTTTCTGTGGCCTAGGACTGCTCGACACAGCTGGTCAGACTAATGAACTTTTCTATTTCTAGCTATTTAAAAGTTTAAAACATCACCAGAGAGCTGATGGCTCTCCTTTTGTTCTGGAGTTATTGCTCCTGCAGTACTGGGTTGGCTTGAAGGCTAGCACTTGTGGTCACAGGAAGCCTTGTAAATACTTGCTGGAATGTGCTCTGGTGTTGCTAGCCAACATTTGAATCATAGAATCATAGAATGGTTTGGGTTGGAAGGGACCTTGAAGATCATCAAGTTCCAACCCCCCTGCCATAGGCAGGGACACCTCCTACTAGACCAGGTTGCTCAAAGCCCCATCCAGCCTGGCCTTGAACACCTCCAGGGATGGAGCTTCCACAACTTCTCTGGGCAACCTGTTCCAGTGCCTCACCACCCTTAAAGTGAAAAATTTCTTCCTAATATCTAATCTAAATCTTCCCTCTTCCAGTTTGAAGCCATTCCCCCTCACCCTATCACCACATGCCCTGGTAAAAAGTTCTTCCCCAGCTCTCCTGTAGGCCCCCTTTAGGTACTGGAAGGCCGCAATAAGGTGTCCCCGGAGTCTTCTCTTCTCCAGGCTGAACAACCCCAACTCTCTCAGCCTGTCCTCATAGGAGAGGTGCTCCAGCCCTCTGATCATCCTTATGCTCCTCCTCTGGACGTGATCCAACAGGTCCATGTCCTTTTTATTTTGGGGACTCCAGAGCTGGATGCAGTACTCCAGGTGTTGTCTCACCAGAGTAGAGTAGAGGGGTGGAATCACCTCCCTTGACCTGCTGGCCAGACTTCTTCTGATGCAGCCCAGGATATGGTTGGCCTTCTGGGCTGCGATCACACATTGCTGGCTTATGTTGAGCTTCTCATCAATCAGCAGCCCCAGGTCCTTCTCCTCAGGGCTGCTCTCACTCCATTCTCTGCCAACCCTGTATTTGTGCTTGGGATTGCCCCATCCCAGATGTAGGACCTTGCACTTGGCCTTGTTGAACTGCATGAGGCTGGCACGGGACCACCTATCCAGCCTGTCCAGGTCCCTCTGGATGGCATCCCTCCCCTCCAGCATGTCTACCTCGCCAAACAGCTTGGTATCATTGGCAAATTTGCTGAGGGTGCACTTGATCCCACTATCCATGTCACCAACAAAGATGTTGAACAGCATGGGTCCCAGTAGTGATCCCTGAGGAACACCACTCATCACTGGTCTCCACTTGGACACGCAGCTGTTGAAATGAAAATTTACTTGCCTTCTGGATTTCTGAAATCAATGTTTGCAAGTTGCTCTTTGCAACCAAGAGAACAAAAAACACGTAGAGAAAAAATCAAAACTGAGTCTCATGTAATCACAAGAGTTTAGAAGATGGGGTTTTAAGACAAACATTGATATATCAGTGATTTATTGCTGGATTTATAGAATTTGATAGTTCTATCAGCATGGCTTTAATTTCCTGTTATTCTAGTGTAAGTTTCAGGTGTTCGATCAGTGCAAATAACTAATATAGTAAGCTCATATTGGGTGATTATTTCTATACACTGTCACTGTCTTTGAAAATAAGCTGTCTTGAAGTGCAGAGTTCATTGCAGAATGTCATTGTAAGGTTTTATGGCTCAGGATCTTTAGTGGAGCATCTAGAAAGCTGTCCCTGAAATTCCCTGTGCGCAGTACAGCAACGGAGGTTTCAGCTGACTTTGGTGCTGCTGTGTGACAGCAGAGGGTGCTAGTGCCATCCCCGAGGAGCACAGAAGGGTTCTCGGTGTTCTAGAAAGCAGATTTCAGTGTGCATTTATACGTCCACTATTACAGTAAGGAGACTGGAGGCTTTCATTAATGCAGAGAATTATGCGTTATTCCATTAATGCAGATGGATCTGAGACAGGTGTATTTCTATTTGTGATTTGATGGAGGTTTTGGAGCTATAAAGTATGGAAAAAACCCTTTACCTTGTTACAAGAAGACCCTGAGAAATGATGACAACGATGGGGAAAGGTAGGTTACATGGTGAATTCGGTCCTGCAGCGGGGCCATGTGGGAAGATACATTAATGTGTCCAAAAAGAGCATTGCTGTTTGGCATTTTAACTCTGCTGCATAGAACAACTGCTGCCTGGCTAGAGGCTGATCTTCATCCCAGGCAGGTGTAGAATCTGATGATTTACAGAAGAGATTAGAGGGACAAACAGAAACTTGGTGTGCACCTAGCTGTAGATTACGGAGATTCCTTTTGCTGTAACAGTGAACTGTAAAGACTTGGGCTAAAAGAGAATCTTTTATGTCATCATCCAGATGGGAATCTACTTGTAATTTAGAGGGTTTGTGGACAAGAGGGAATGAGTCAATTTAAATGGGGGAAAAAGACCCCAAAATTTCCAAAGCTACGCACTTCTGCTCTAGCACAACTCTGACAACACTTTTATTACAAGACTCTTGTGTACACATCTCCTTAAGTAGACCCAAAGAATAAATTCTAGAATTCAGATTTAACTGAGGAGCCAATACTCATTTCAATTACCATACTTAGAAGGAAAGTCTTAGAATAGTGAGGAAAGACTAACCACATTGAAAACGCTCAACACTAGCCCTTTTCATGTTAGAAAGTCTGGATAGCGAGGGCCCCCCTAAGTAGTATTACATTATGTCTTTTTAAATGCTGTAGTCTAAAATATTAAATGCAATTTGTTTTGAAGTATTGCAGCAGTAGTTCTCGGCTTAGAAAAACTGTAATTCCTGAGTTTGTGCTATCTGCTCTGTTAAGTGCTTTTGAGATCAATACAGGAAAGGTATTAGCCTGTGAAGATACTTTGTCCTTTAGAACTGCTATTGGAAGGTGATACATCTGAAGGATGGTGGTAATGAGAGATGTGATTAGCAACCTAATAAATAAGGTAAACATCTCTCTCTGTCTT